ATCTCACCAACACAGATATTCCTAAAAGTAGTGGCGTCGATTAAAGTGCGTCGGTCTTTTAATGACAGCATTTGATATTTCGTTAACAGATTTGCGATAATGCTTTGTCAAATTATTGCTTGCATTTGCGCGAAGGTTATAGGGATAGTACTAATAATTTACAGCAGGTAGCGCGGGTATCGTACGGGCAATTTTATTTTTGAACACTCTATATCATTCAATATCAATGAATGTATTATTATTCCCAATTAAACAATATACTTAACTCGTCAAAATTTAAAACGATATTTTCACAATTATTTCACCTGTGGTTAGGCTTGCCAACCATACTTTATAATAACGTATCCTACTTTATTTTTGGTAATTATACTTTATACTTTTACATACAAACAAAGTATGCAAAAATACTTTATTTTCAACCTTTACTGTGATGCGTAAAACATACTCATCATGGGTACTTAACGATTTATAATTGCTGAACGAAATGTTACCTATCTTTCCGATTCACGCCAATAGCGCCAACAGTGATTACGCTCGCGACCATGGGCAGCGTTTGCGTTGTCATCAGCGCGCTTACGGTTGATTCGGAACGGATTATTGGCGCTGACAGCGCTGTTGGCGTGAATCGGAAAGGACTATTAGATGTCAGTTGTGACGTTTGTCACAGATGTCTCTCACTATCGACGAAATTGTACAAAACTGGTCCTTTAGTTTTGTTTATAAGCGAAGAATGCACTTTAAAGTAAATATTAATGCTGAAAATGACGAGTAATTCTGATAGCGACACACCAGTGACTCCTAAAAAAATCTAAAATAACTAAAAAAATAATTTATTTAAATTTAAACGTTGATTGTCAAACAAGCTTTGTAACATTTAAAGACAACAAAAAATTGTTAGCATGTGCTAAAAGCACACAAAAATACGTGTTTAAAGCAATAAAAACATAAAATTTGAAAAATACTTTTTTTTCTTCCTAATACTTTATTTTTTTCCTATCCAAACCACTTTATACGTTTTTTTTTTGTCAAAAAAGTTGGCAACCCTACCTGCGGTAGCAATACGCTAGGTACCAGCTAGTAGATTATAAAATTACTTATTGAAATTCATTTACGTATTAGCCACTGGTTGGAGAAAAAACAAACAGCCCTAAGCTATTAACTATTTTACTTATACTAAGCTTTTTTCAAGATTTTATATCACAATGTACCACGTTCTATACTTAGATATTACAAAAAGTTTATGAAACCACTCGATAGTAATTATCTCATTGCCAGCTATATTATAGTTATAATAATTTCTAAATCAGAATTAGTAATATTGATATCGTTTATATATTTACTGAATTTGCCTAAATACTAGTACCTAACAAATTTAGGCGCGCATTATCCCCTAGCCAGATGTAACACATACAATGAAATTATGACCAAGATACCGGACATATCGACATTTTCAACGACTCTGCCCGATGCTTCAAAAAAAAATTGACCAATTTCTTTTCACCCTCTCAGCACACACTCATTCCTTAGTTAGTTTTTTCTTAATATAAGTTATTTTGTATTCAGTACCATTATAATATAATAAGCTACACATTACAGTAAATGTTGTGTATACCTGTAATTAGCAAACGTATTTAACCATATACATTTGTTATTGCGTTGTTATTAATGTTTCATGTGTTTTGCTGTTGGTATACCTTATGAATAAATAAATAAATAATTAAATAAATACTCCTATGGCTCCGCCACGCTATGCTCCTCGCGCTACTCACTGCTCTACTTCTAACAATTGCCATCTCTGAACACACAATATTTAGTTGACAAACACAATTTAGTAAGAGCCACGAGATTGATTTCAATGTACTGCTTAAAATTATTTATTTTTATCTTGAAATGCTGATTTTTTTTTGCATTCATTGCATTCAATGAGAAAATTCTAATTAATTCGAGCGTCGAGTATTATGATGAATGTGTTGACGTTCATTAAGGCAGTACATTAATTATTTCTCTTTAGTATTTTATAATTAGAGTTCTAAAAAAATTATATTCTGGTATTCGGGAATCAATCACCCCGATTCGTCCAGAGGTGTGGGTGCCGTAAAGGCTGATTTACACAAGTTCAGTGACAGACGTCAGTGCTGGCGCCGAGTGCTGACTTTTTACATTAGTAGGCAGGTAGTTAGCAGGCAGTAGTCGTGGTAATTTCGGCACGGTGCACGCACGTTATTGAAGTCTGTGGACAAAAATGAATTTACTGAAGCGGCAAAATTTATTACCTACTATTTGTTGAAAATGTTTACTTTATGGTATTGCAAAAGTGACGGAAATATCTTAAAAGAAACGGCATTGGATTAGAACATGGGATGGACGACAGAAAAAAACGGGAGGTTCTGCTTCGTTGTTAAATCAATTGAGATTTGAAGATCCTGCGGGATACAAACTAGTTTTGAGAATAGCATCGAAGAAAGTTGACAATTTGTTGTCACCCTACAATGTAGCGTCAGCAACTGAACAAGTACTGACTTGGTCGTTTAGATAAGGTCAATATCGTTGGCGTGAATGGCCGGGGAGTGGACCAACTTCAAAACATTCAAGAAGGAATATTAGAGTCAGCACAGACACGACAACGCTGTACTTACTCCAAATCCATTTACACTATATTTGTATTGGGTCAGCACTAACCTGCAACTACGTGAAATCCTAGAAAGATTTAATAGCTTCCGTTTCGATGGATGACAGTATAACCATTTCCTTACGGCACCAAAGTAATGTTCTTTTTCTTATTCTTGTTTACTTTATGGCTTCTCTTAATAGAATTCTGCCAAGTCAAGTCAGTCAAAGCAGTGTTAAAACCATAGAATACTATATATAATACTAGCTAATGTGAATATTCGGCGCTCTCAAAAGTGTGCAGTCTGTGAAGATGTTTAGGGTCGCGCCCCCGCCAGATTTGATCGCGCGATCCAAGGATGATTCGCGAGGCTATTGAAATCAAAATACATCCTAATTTCAATTGAGAAAATGGCTGGGTGCTACCCTCTGCTTGGGATCCTATAATTAAAAAATAAAATTCCAACCTTCACGATCTTCGATCAACAATGTTGATCGAAGTTCACGATGCTACAAGTTCATTTATTCGTAAATCGGACCTAATAATAAGGATGATAATATAATATAATAATAATGCTATAAGGATAATTTTTTTTTATAGAATAGGGTGACAAACGAGCACACAGTCCACCTGATGGTAAGTGGTTGCTGCGGCCCATAGCCATCTACATCTATTCTCCATTAAAAATCAAAATGCAGATGCGCTGTCACCCGTGAGGACTGAGATAGAATGCCTCGTTTCCAGTAAAAAGGGTCGTGGTGAGTGTAGAGAACCGGATACCCTTTTTTACTGGAAATGAGGCATTTCATGTTAGTCCTCACGGGTGACAACGCATCTGCATTTTGATTCGTAATCGAGGATAGATGTAGATGTCTATGGGCCACAGTAACCACTTACCATCAGGTGGATTGTGTGCTCGTTTGTCACCCTATCCTATAAAAAAATTTAAAGGTAACGATGGTTAACCTGACATTGGGACATCGAGTAGTTCAGTCCCTTCGTGATGGATATTACAAAGTGCTCGAAACGTCGGGAATATAAAATAATTTAACTAAACGCGACAAAATCTGTAAAAAACTAGTTTAATTCAATATGTAGTATTCTTGTAAATATAAATAAATCACTACTAATTTTCAACTGGCTTCAAAAAAAGGAGAAGGTCCTCAAATCGGCTGTTTTTTATGTGTGTTATCTCAGAACTTTTTCTTGGTGAGCTGTTTTTGATGTTGGGACAGTCCCCCGTGACCATGAGTCGGGAATTAAAAATCAATTAAAATTAAAGGCGATAAAATCCGTAAAAGTAGTTTTAATAATGTGTAGTGTTCGCGTAAATATAAAAAATCATTATATTTCTTTTTTATTTCAAGTTGGTAAAAAGTTCTTAAATGCATAATATATAATAACTAAAGAGTTTTATTATAAAGTTTATGATTTCTCTATTTCTCTACAAAATTTTAGCAATCGACATTTAGGAGCTTTTTTCAAGTTCGGCAAATGTAATAAAAACTAATTGCATTTAGTTCTCTTATTTCTTATCTTCTTGTATGTTTTTTTATTAAGAACACTCTACTTCTGTTTAATAGACTATATTATGAGCTGAAAGACTAAGTAAAATACCCGCATTAAGTTTAGCAAGTGCAACCGTTAATATTCTTTCGGTTTATAATTTGCAATTGGGTCCCGCCTGCTACTTACTCAATAATATAGTTTGTTAAAATAAAGTAGTTTATTTTGTTTATAGTTTATTTTAATTTTGTTTTCTATTCTCAATCTTGTTTCGGTCTTTTTAGTGCATTATTTTTAAATTGTCTTTTTGCAGTCAGGTTCTTGATTTTTTTAAATTATTTATTCTATCTTAGACTTTATATGAACTAAATTTCATATGATAGCACGAGGTCTGACACAAACATGTCCCATTTTTACGCTATCAACAATTTTTTAAACTAATTTATTATACCTAATTAAATTTAAACATGTAACTTATATATATATATATATATAATATTCGCCATTTTTTTTTCAAATAGTTATCTAAGAACGTTTAAGAAAGTTTAAGGTTTTTCAGACGAATATAACGATACCTTAACTGTCGAAATTCATTCAGTCGTTTAGAATATACGAGATAAGAAAGAAATTTACAAACATACATACATAAGATACCCGCCAAAAACATAACCTTTCCTTAGCAGTCGGGTAAAAAAGCAGAAGCGAATATCCAACCAGATACATCTGTAACGTAAACAAATAGCATAGTTTTATCATACATACCATACCATTTATCAACCATACCATTTAATAGATCATACATATTTTGTATTGTGTTTTATTTAACATAAAGAAAACTACGTGATACTACTGTTTTGTTTTGTCTTCTATAGGTGCCGTTCGAGGCATGCTGGGCGCGCGGCTCAAGTCATGGATGGAAGCGCAGCTGGGGCGGGCGAAGAAGCGTAAACAAAAACAAACTCGTCAAGCTCCCACCACCGCTACCACCGGACCACTTCCAGCCCCTCACTTATCATCTCCTGAGAGCGCATATAGTACTGGCTACTCCACTGATGGGACATCTCCAGGCGCGCCGCCCGCGTCCCTCGCCGCTCCGCTCGTCGCTCCGCCGCCGCCTCCTGCACCCCCAACCACACACCTTTATCACGAGCCTGCGAAGGTGAGCTAAAATATTCAGCAGATATGTACGTACGTTGTCTTTCAAATTTCACAACTTGCTGTCAAAAGCTCTTAAACACGACGTGCAAATCTTTGCCTTTAACTGTCGTAATATCTATATTTCTCATATTTGATTTTACAAATGAGGTGCTATTTATTCCGTTGTATAATTGTTTTTTATCTTTATTTTTTTATTTAATGTCCATCAAATGTTACAGTTGAGTAGTTGACATCATCATTAGTAAACAACTACATAATTTTATTTGTTTTTTGCTACTGTTAGTGTAATAATAATAATAAGTTTTTATTTTTATTTTCAAAAGATACCTACTACAACAAAATTTACATAACACTTGATAAAGTTAATTTGGTACATATATCTAAAACATAGCAACCCTTAGGAGTTTGTACTTTATGCTAATAAAACCTAGGTATAATGTAACTTAATAGCTCACATATTATGTTTTATATACAAAGGTACAAAAAAGATAATAATTAATATTAATATAGTATGTCATAGTATGTCAAAACGTGATTAATTTTTTATTTTAAGTTCAATAATAGTTTTACCTTGTAGCGCTGACGGTGTAGTGGCGGTGTAAGAATAACCACTACATTATACCGTGGCAACTATCATACATTTCCCTACAATAGAAATGTTTGTATTACAACTTTGTGTTTCAATTGACTATATTATGTCCAATACCAAATCGCTGCTATGTTGCACGCACTCCTCATAATGCGAACAGGTAGTGTATTATTAAAGATATTGCTCTCGACTCTTTGCTCATGGCTCTCTGCTCTGAACTCGACGCGACGTTTCAAGCAATTTTGTGGTCTTAAAATGACCCTATCATAACCATATTGAACTTATACGACAATATGATTAGCCATATATCAAGAAAACTCTAATTAATCCATCTTATAATGTCTAAACAATAATTTTATATTACTACTTAGAAAAAAAAGTTTAAAAAGTGTATATGGACGTTCGTATATTGATTGACATAATATGTGGTCACGATAACTCCCGAAAAAATTGACTTAGCGAGATTGGATTTATTTTATTAACTTAAGAATTATATCTACTAGTTCCCTATTTATTATCAATAGTAGTACCTACGCGTTAGTATGTTAATAAAAATGATTTTCAAGTTTTATTGCTATCAAAAATTTAAAGGCGCTTTAATTTTTTGTTTTATAGCCCTTGATAGACAAAGAACAAATGCATCATACAGCCTATATCAATTTTATATTTATACTTTGTAAAAATTTTACACTACACGTAAATAATATATTTTAAAAGGAATAATTTTTTTTTATTAATTTTAAATTAAACGCTCATGAGGCGTTCACTTTTAAATTTTCGCACTTTTAGATTTCCAAACTATTTATATACATTAATTAGAATACACTTTAAAACTGACGTGACTGTTCTTCTTGTACATACATTAAAATTAGTTATGTTTATTAATAAGATTGTACTTTATAATTGTACATCGCCACAAAATTAAGGTAAGATATATTTTTACTAATATACAAGTATTATTTAATAGGCGATTTTTTTTAATATGTATAAGTCAATATATTTATATTTAATTTAATATATAGGGTTTTTGTTTTTTCCATTCTTTTTGGTTGGTTTTCAGGGGCCAACGGTATTATCTAATATTTGGCGAGTTTGTTTTAATATACAAGTATTAAATAATAAGAAACCTTAAATTTTAATTGAGAGTATTGCTCCATCTTATATACCATATTGCAACATATTAGCAATTACATAAGACTTGCTTAGATTATTGTTCACCCCGCACATCTCGAACGAGTCGTATGCGACTCGTTTCGATATCCACTTCCCCTTCTGCTTTATTACGGAACAGTGTGCTCGTTTCTCGTATAGCCTCTTTCACAAACTTTTACATTTATTGTATGAACAACATGAGGATATAGAACTTTTTTTTTGGTAGGTGACAAAGGGCCACTTGGGGTTTGGCCCATCTTCTCTCCTCTTCGTTCCGGCGCTCTTTTTTTCCGGGTCCCGTCCTCCCCTTTTCACGCTGTATGCTTGGCTTGTGCTACAACTAAGTACCGTACCACTTTGTTAAATCGAACTTGGTACATATTACTATTGACTTATATAAGTATTACTAGCGTAAATTATTGGGTATTACTCAATTTTTGAATTAAATTAATAACGATCGCGTAGTCTTATATTACATAAGAGTCTACATCGAATAAGCGTAGTTTCTGTTATGGTTTGGTTTTTGGTTGGCGTTTTAAAAATTTTACATTTCAACAACTTATCTATTTTCTATAAGATCAAATTTATATTAAGATCTAATTTATTATTATCTCTTGAAACACACATTAAACAACTTTGAGAGAATTGGTCTGGGAGCTTCAGTGGAACTCAATTTGGCGGGGGATTACAAAATTCTCATAATTAGGTACTTATTACGGTGGCATAAAAATTCAATTCAATACAGTTCAAGTAGTTTATTGCGAATATAGGTTGATACAGTTGGTGTTTTTATTAATTTCCATCGTGTAATTGATATTATTTATATGATTTATTATAATTAAGGATTATTTATTTACATTTTACGTCAATGTATCGAAGAAAAAACAAAGATGTTATTTTTAAGACATGATTTAAAAAAATCGAATTATTTTGTTGTAATTTTCGACATGTCCTAAAATTTTTTTTCTTAATATAGCCGATCTGGGCTTAAAATATATATATATATATATATACATATATATATATATATATGTGTATATATATATATAGTATAATGTATAAAGTATTGGAGTGTATCTTGTTCATTGGGTGTATTTTTTAAAGCAGACCGAATTGACATTTTTAGGTATATTGTTTAAGTCCTAAATAAATATTTAACGTGGAAGAGCCATGTTGCATCTGGTCTACTGTAAGAATTGTTCGTTTACACCGAGAAAGGACTAAGTTCTAACAGAATACCAGCTTCAAATAGCACGTTACACTGTTGCGTTTAGTATGGTGACTGTAGAGAATGAGTCTTTTCGTTTTTTCTTCTCCTAGGGGTGCTTGCTTGGCGCCCCTTATCTAGTGGTGTGGGAAATCGTTTTGACATACATCCGTTTTAAATGACCGTGTGTGTCGAGCTTCATTCTGTAAAAAATATATCATTATTTTATGACAGTAAAATCGTTTTTTTAATGTTTAAGTGGTAAGCGAGGACACACTGTTCCTCCTTAAATTGGAACTCAGAAGTGGAAGGTATTGCTGTTTAGTGACAGGGCGGTATCTTTTCACATGGATGGACTTTAATTTTAAAATAAGAAATATAAACATTTAAACGATCATTCAATAAATATAATGTAAATATTCTGCACAATATTGTAATTTTTCAAAAAAAAAAAAACAAGATTTTTCAAAGCTTTTCTTAGAATATCTTTTTAAAGAAAATAAAAAGGAGCCGTTATTACTAGAACCGAACAGTAAATGGAAATCGTAAATTCGTTACGTATAATTTTGAAATGGAATAAAAGTTTTCAACTTCTGTTACGGCCATCAAACGCTAAGTTATAGAAGTTTGAATTTGTTTCGAACTTCATAACGAATTCGCCCGTCTATTCTTTTACGAGTTCATGAATGCCAATTTACAGTGCGCAACTGGAATATTTTTCTCTTTCGGCTCTTAATTTTTATCTCTGATTACTGTCAGCCAACATCTTTATCGTATTAAACAATAACTACTGAAAACAGTTACTGATATAATATTAAATAAAAGTGATAATATGTAAGAACGAAATTATAAAATATATCGTAATTGATTTTTACATAAACTGTAAGACTTTTTCGTTCTTATAGTCAACGCTTGATAGTAAAACCCACAAACTAATTAAAAACACGCAAGTAAACGTCTGTGTATTGTATGTATATTATTTGTGTAAGATGGAAAAAATGTTTACCTTTATCATAATTTACTTTTAGAGACAGGAAAAAAAAAGAAAAATTACAGCCAATGTAGGAATTAGAGGAATGCAATCTTAAAGATTTGATCTCATTGATAACATTACAACTCTCTGGGATTTGGAATCAGGACTTCGAATAACGTAACCGCTAGGCTCGCCGCCCATTGAATAGCTGAATACGGGGTGCACGGCGTGCAGAAAAAGGTGCTATAACCATTTGATTTTCTTCTGGCCGATCTTTAGCGTGAGGGCAAACCCAAAAACTAATTTCTGTTTATCACAGACTGATAAAAAAATTTATGATATGACTACCGTAGTGGTAAACAATTGTTATTTTTGCGTATTTTTTTATTTTAACTAGTTCTATATTAGAGTTTTTTATAAAGAGAGATTTGCTTTATTAATTATACCTACTTACTAGACCTATTAAATGAACAGTAGGCTGTTGATTATCCATTTGCGACCATATTTCAGAATATAATGAATTGGGTTCGACAAACAATGTGCAGAACTATTTGAATTTACTGATGAATTATATACTTGATTATTTGGTTTCGTTGTTATGAACGTTTAATTGTTTACTTATTTTATTTGTTGTCATGTAACATTGCGAAAATGCTGAAAAATTGTAATGAGAGTTTATAACGGCTGTGTCACAAGGTGCCAAAATAGACAAAATAATTTGAATAAAACTAAATTTACGGATTCTATCGCGTTTATTTAACTGATTTTACTTATTTTTAATTCCGGGTGCTTTACAGCAAATGGGGGGTTTTTGGTCCGATTTACGCAAAATTAATATTCAAAAACTAAAGGTAGCCGGGCTAACAATGACATTGGGACGTCAAACATCTCAGTCCCCCCCCGTGACCATGGTTGCTGTAAAGCACCCGAAACGTCGGGAATTAAAAATAAGTAAAATCAGTTAAATAAACGCGATAGAATCCGTAAATTTAGTTTTATTCAATGTGTAGTGTGCGTAAGTCATTAAAATAATTTGAGTTTTTATGACCATCAGAGCACTTGTATAGTCATTTGCACATACTGTTTACACGCACAGACACTCCTCCCACACATTAAAATCTAGTTCAAGACTATATCTGAACAATTATATATCTTTTATAATTGCAATCATTTGCATTCAAGTCTCTTCCCAGTTTTTCCTCAAGTGCTAAAACTCATCTCAATCTTATCTAGACTCTGCTAAATGGTCTCTAATGAACGAGGCGCTATCGAATAAATAATGCCTTAAAATCCCTCGACTATGTGAAACTCCATAGTTTATGGGTGTAGTAATGCTTCTTTACTGCACTCCAACCTGCGAGATCACTGATCATTGATCGGTGTGTTAAATTATTAAAAAAGTTGGCAATAGATGTCGCTAGTAGTCTTTTAAACTACACTAGGGTGTGTCCTGATGAAAGGCACAAGTATACCTTGATATACTTCAATTCAACATGTTGACTTCCTTGTCTCGGGGAGCATAGTGCGCAGTGATCGTAAAGTGAGAGCACTGATGCTGACACCCACAAGTTATCAAGTATAACTGACCGCGTCCGGCTGCCGTTCAGGGAGTCCGAACGCAATTTTTGAAAGGCCCTTTTACTTCATAAAGGGCTTGCTTGGGGTAATACAAGTCCAACTCGTATAAAAGTAATAACTTTACAACTTAAAACTCCCGGATTATACTAGCTTATCTATGATTTAAAATAAATATTATTTGCCCTAGTCACGAGGTTGGTGAGCGTCCGTCGCAGTGTTGCCATCGTAAAAATCTGAATAGCTATATTATGTCACACAATCTGGTTTGGCGTATTTTTAGGGAAAAATTACAAAATTGCCGCATTCTTAATTATATATTTAAAAAAAGGTTTCTTATCGTTTGATTTGTCCAGCTTAATAACGCGTATTTAATTGACTTCGACTACATTGACGATGTTCTCATTTTATTTATATTGAATTCGGTTGTATAAAATTTTAATTTTACCACTTGTTTACTAAGTACTTACTCGAAATATCTTATTTCCATTTTTTTTGTTTTTCATAATTTTTTGTGCCTTTTAGTTAGTTAGTTAATATTAATAATTTGGTATTTATTTTCTCCCACATATGATCAGTACTTTACAATAAACTAAGTAATAAAACTGATACAACTAAATAACAGCTATAAATGCTAACTAAATAAGATCCAGGTGGGAGACTGGTGTCCAAACTAGGTTGCCCTGTGCTATGGGACCACTAGGCCCCTCCATCAACATATATATATATATATATATATAATCGGAATCTCGGAAACGGCTCCAACGATTTTCATAAAATTTAGTGTCCAGGGAGTTTCGGGGGCAATAAATCGATGTAGCTAGGATTTATTTTTAGAAAATGTTTTTTTGTCCGTGTTTTAAGAAACTGCTACAATATAAGAAGTAAAATTTTGACATTGTGTAAATGATCGTAATAGCTCAAGTGGATAGCGAGCGGTCGCAAAATCGTAATGCCTTGGTTTCGCATCCCGTCTTCCGTCCGACATTTTTTCCTTTTTTTTCAAGTTCCCTTCTTTTGTGAGAAAATCTATTATTTCGAGCCCTTTTTTAGTATTTTTTAAAAATACGAAATATTTAATTAAACTAATTGCACTCATGATTTTTTATTCAAATAACCAGTTCAGTGTTTTCTATTATGTCAATAAGATCAAAAAAAAATATTCATCAGCATGTAATTTGTATCTAATGTAATTTCAAAAAAAAAACTGAGCAAAGCTCGGTCATCCGGGTACTAAAAGTACATTAAAATAGAATTATTCGGTTTAGAGAAACAGTTTAAAAATTATTAAAAGATATTAGGTGTACATAAAAAAAACATGTTTTATATACTAATAGAGATATGTGACGGTTGTGATGTGGTTGGGATGTGATGATTTAAGCCGTTTAGTTAAGGAAATTTTTGTCTCTCTCTTATCTAACGGAAATATATTAAATAATTAGTTAGCAAGATTGTATATAGGACTGGACTAATTGAAAAATCTTCCAATCAATAATAAATTGGTAACTGTTATTGTACATACATGATGCGGAAGTCTTAATATATGATTGGATTTATTATTTCCGTTTTTGAGCGATTTAATAATATTGTCACAAGAATATACAGCTGACGTACGATGAGCAAGTCACATAACTTGTAGAGTCCGTTTGTTGAAAATAATCTGTAAAATGTTTTTATAAGATATATTAAGTACGAGTATAAGTTTTTGTTCACGTTCTATTCTTATTATATGGATTCTCGCTGCACCCCTCCCCCCACCCCAAGACGTTATGTTATAGTTAATAATAGACTGAAATAATGACATAAGGCAGCATAAACGAATTTTATGATACTGGCATCAGCAAGATGACGAAGCTGCTTTGAGTGTTTGTGCTGAAATACCATGCCATCCAGGTCCAGACTCAGTTTGTAGATTAATTATCAAACGTTCAGTTTCAATGTTAGTAAAATAATTATCTATATAATTTACTGACTGCCCGGTTGTGTCTTTAAGGGTCAACAGCTCTTGCGGAATATTTTTGATTTTTTGAGTGTTGCTCGCGTTGTGTATTTTTCCAAAGTTCTTTGATATTGTTTCTGTTTTTAGTTATTTGGTTTTAATCATGTTTTCTTTTTTCATTCTTAATTAAATTATTACAAAAGTTCCTATATCTCTTATATGTTTTCGTTAAAAAATCGTTGTTCGGGGCTTGCTTTAATTTAGAGTGCAGTCTGTCCATGTTCCTTATACAAGTACACCTTAACATGCCTGTAGATATCCACGGTTTTATTGTGTACTTAATCCTAGGCAATTTTATTATACTTAACTTATTATTTATTAGACTTTGTAGTCCTTAAAATTTTTTATCATAGCTATTATTTATATTAGCATTATTTTTCAATAAAAAATGATTAAAATCTATGTTTTTGCAATCATTAATAAGATTATCATAATTAATTCTTTTGATGTAATTATTACGAAAAAAGTGACTTATTTTTTATATCAATACATGTCAGTATAGTTTTGTGGTCAGTTATTTTGGTGTTCATAATAAAAGTGCAAAGAGGTTTTTTAGTTTTTAACCATGACACGATCGAGGCAACTTATATCAGTGGTTAAAATATTTTAATATACAGAAGTGATCCCATGAAATAGTAGCTGTTCAAGATAGTAGAGGGGGTCACTATTTATGATGGATAAATTGATATTAATGTCCCCTACAATTATTAGATTTTGATACGTACTGAGAAAAATAAGAAGTTTATGTAGAGATTGAAGAAAAATTACTAATAACTTTATAACAGGGGGACGGTAAATAGCTAGTACTGTAATTAAAGAATCCGTCTTCATAAGTAATATATATATATATATATATATATATATATATATATATATATATATATATATGTTACTGTGTTTAGATCCTACTAGAAGCTATTATAGAGAAATTATTTTACTATTTATTAATATATTTGAAGTAGGCTCTTTCTTATTTTTATTGAAAGTTTCATCACAATGGATATCCGCAAAGTAATTGCCTGATTCTATTAATTAGTTTCATTTTAATATTTTATTCTTTTTGGTTTTTAGGCTTTTATTTCTATTTAAAGTTTCATCATAATGGATTTCTGCAAAGACGCATGATTCTTTTAATTAGTTTAATTTTACTTACTTATTCTTTTCCGTTTTTAGAATAAACCTCTTATTTTTATACAAAGTTTCATCGTAATGAAATTCCGTAAAGTAACGACTGATTCTATTAATTATTTTAATTTGAAATATAAATGTTACTAACTTACTAAATGTTTACCATGTGCTAAGCGTTGAAAGAAAACATCGTAAAGAAACCTGCTTGTTTGTGAATTGAATACTTACTCCAAGAGATATTAATTAACCAACACGCACTGGAGCAGTACGGCGGACTAAGTGCTCCTAAAAACATTAAGAGGAATCCTGTGAACAGTGAGACGTATACAGGCTGTTACTTTAGTTTTACTTTACTTGAGTATATTGTGCTGGTGCTTGTACTAATTTTTCTAATTATGGAAAACATTTAAATGATATATTGTTATTTTGTTGCAGAGACGCTCAATTCCATTAGTACGTCACTGTGCCCCTGAGCCAGTGGTATGCTCGACGCCGTCTCCACGGCCGCGCTGCCGCATCCGCACGAATCCATGGCTGGGGGCCACCTCACCCAATGCTCGACGAAAGACTCCGTTCCTTCCCCAACAGTCTCTGCCTTGCCCTCAACCTCAGCCTCTGTTACTACATGCACCATACTCTTTAGATTCGCAGACGATATATGGGTAAATAATAAAGTTACAATTTCAATAACGTATGCCAATATTAACAATTTAATTTTAGAATTAATTTTATCCTTTATACACCCAGATTATTAAACGTGTAAATGATAAAATATATCAAATTATATTTACTTATCTAAAGTAACATTTTTTTTAGAATAGGATGATAAATGAGCACACAACCACCTAATGGTAAGTGGATGCTGTCGCCTATAGACATCTATATCTATCCTCGTTAATCGAGGATAGATAGCATCATCATAAAATGCGGTGACATTACATTTACATTACATACATTTTAACAAGCGTATTGCTGAGAGGTTTCACAACGCGATCCAAAACTGTCTCTTGATACACTTTGGCTGAAGTTTTCACACCTTTTCCACAAAAATGTAGCTTTGTGACGCCTTGAGAAGACACGCCCCACCAAACTGATCACTGACGCAGGATTATGACCACATTATACCTTTCCGACCACTTGAGCAGTTTCTTTAAAACTATGAGCGTACACTTTATCATTTTGCTTATTGTAGTACTCTTCAATCGTGAAAATTGTTTTCATCGGTAAAGAGGATATTTCTATGCCCTTCACCTGCGTATCGCGACAGATGGCGTTTTGATCGATCCATTCTCTTTAATTGTAAAGATTGATTTAGGGCACGTCCTCTATATCGACGATAGCCACCGAGCTTCAGGTCTTGTTTTATAATACGCAACTGAGTCCTAGCGGGAATCTTCCTCGCGATAAGATTTTTTGCTTCCTAATGGGATTTCGACGAATTCTGGCTTTAACAGCATTAACAGCCTTTGTAGTTTTAACAGCACGCGATCCCGATCTTTTATGGTCTTCGATAGAGGAAGTGTTGTTGTAGGTACCTGTTGATAGTACGATATACGAACATAGGGCTGATACCAAGCTTTTGAAGGGTTTGGAATATGACCAACGGCTCTAACCTATTTTCTTTAACACCCCATTCCATATTGTAATTTGATAATGAACACGAAAAATATGTGAAATGGCAAGAACTTTTAAAATAATGAACGCGTTCCAAATTCAAAATAATTAAAAAGTTGAAAAAAAGAAAAGTTCTTATGTAACAGTATTTATGGTACTACTTATAGCTAGACTAGTTATAGCTGCAGCATGACCCTACCACGTGTAGTTCCAGTCCATCACAATAATTTTAATTAAAATATCTCTAGAAAGTAATTAACTTTTGCCAGAACAAAATTATTTTAAATTTTTTTTACACAATGGAACTCTAAAAAGGTTTTTCGTTTATTTATTGTAATAATATGGTGTTAATTTTCTTTATGTTTAATATGACTTACTGAGCTTTTCAAGTTCATCCGTATCCCACAGCTGGGGATCCTCTCATTTCTAAGAGATTTATGGAGGCAGAAAGTACTTGGTCCGTCGTACTTGCATCATTATGGATTGTTGAAATAATCGAAAAATACGTATAAAACAATTAACAACATTATTATAATATATGTGTATACTTCATTATGTATCTGATGTGGCGGCGCTGTCGCCGTGTTACATTATAGCCTAAATCGCACTATCAAAATGCCGAAGGTACCGCGCTATATACAGAACAACTGCAATGTTACGAAGCGTTGACCGTTCTTCTGGTAGATTATCTTGCTAGGCAGGAGATTTCTTTTCCTTCCAGGCCACAATGGGGACCTCGTCGTGATTTGAACACGCAACCTTTTGATATGTTGAATTTCCGAGTCGCAAGGGATGCAGTATTTACCTCTATCAGACACAATCATTCCAAAACAATCATGACCCCTGTTATAGAGCCCCACTTATTATTAATAGGAGGAGCAGGGCGACGACAGCGCCGCCACAAATCCAATACTATTTTCAAAAATACACCATTCCAGCACATTATTTTAGGAACATAACTTTTTGAGATTATTTAAATTCAAGATTTTCCCATCTTTGCTATATTTTTTTGGAATCGTAACCTCATTTCTATTCATGAGGCGGCGACAACTCCCAAGAGAGCTATTCGAAACGGTCTACAAAGGCTCGAGCCGTTTAAAAAACATTATGCTTTATATAACACTTTCTTATTGCATACTGGCTTTGAAAGTTCAGAGGAAGGGAAATTTTAAAATTAATTGCCTCTCTGTCACTGTGCGACATAATGTTAAACCTAATGTAAGTAGGTTTAATTTTTCTAGTTTCTGCTGCTCCAACCTAAAATGCGATACTAACGAACACTATTTGGCTTTTAAGTTTCGAATTCAGAGAAACAAAGAAAGAAAAACAAAGTGCTGCTGTTTCAGTATTTATTGAAATGTAGGAAGCGCTACGTCTTTCTTTGATGGTCTAAAGAAACCTCAGACTCAGTAACAACCCTCACTAAAACCTCAGTTACAGTCCGTAAAGTCGTTGCCGAAAAATCAAGTGACATTTAAAATAGTCATTATTAGTAGTTTAAAAGCCATAGCAGCTGGCATTTATAAGTAAAATTATTTTATTTTAAACTAGTTCTTTTACTAAACTTAAAACTAGCAAACCCAAGGCTTTGCACGGCAAATATTTTTTTTATAGAAGAGCAAACGGACATACCGTCCACCTGATGTTAAGTGTCTTCCGCCGCCCATGAACATCCGCAACACCAGGGGAATTGCAGGTGCGTTGCCGGCCCTTTAGAAAGGAGTAAGTTCTTTTCTTGAAGGTCCCCGGGTCGTATCGGTCCGGATAAATCGCGGGTGGTAAACTATTCCACAGAGAGGTCGTACGCGGAAGAAAACTCCTTGTGAAACGTACAGTGGTGGACCGCCAAGCATCCAGATGGTGTGGATGGTATCGGGAGGTTTGCCGCGTAGTGCGTTCATGAAATTTGGCGGCTGGGATTAATCCGAACAATTCCTCAGAGCACTTCCCGTGATAGATGCCATAAAATACGCAAAGAGATGCAACATCTCTTCGCAGCACCAGTGAATCGAGCCGATCGGAAAGCACTCGGTCGTCGACGATTCGAGCCGCTCTGCGTTGAAAGTGGTCAAGTGGAAGGAGCTGGCACTGGGGAGCCCCACCCCGTGGGAACAGTATTCCATGTGCGGCCGAACCTGCGCCTTGTCAAGTAGCAGGCGGTGTGCCGGCATAAAATACTGTCCCGCTCTGCTGAGTACGCCAAGCTTTTTAGAGACCAATTTGGCCTTCTCTTCCAAGTGACCACGAAACTGCACGTCACTCGATATGTCGACGCCAAGGATTCCGATACTGGCTGAGGCAACAAGGGGAGTGCCTTGAAACTGAGGAGATACGACAAAGGGGTCCTTTTTAGCGCGCAAACTTGTGTCTTCTGAGGGTTAAACTGGACTAGATTTAGTCGCCCCCAATCCGAAGCATTGTTCAGCAAAGACTCGACTTCAGACACAAGTTTGTCTCGGTACTCGGCGACGTTTTCCCGAGAAATATTGACACGGCCGGTGTACAAGGTATCACCAGTGCTGTCGTCTGCCTAGCAATGAATGTTACCAGTTTGCAACATATCATTGTATTGCAGAAGAAACAGCGTTGGTGATAGTACGCATCCTTATGGAACACCAGCGTTTATAGGCTTGCAATCAGAGCACGCAAAGTCTAGAACGACCTTGATGCTCCGAGTAAGGAAACTGGTGATCCAATTGCGCAATTTCTCGGGAAGCCCATAGGAAGGGAACTTCGAAAGAAGCGGTTTGTGCCAGACCCGATCGAAGGCCTTCGCTATGTCCAAACTAACTGCCTATGCCTCCCCCTTCGACTCTACTGCCGCCGCCCATCTGATTAATGATCTGTCTACCTAACTCATACATCGTACCTCATGAACTGGCAGTTTACAATAGACTCCATTGTTTTGGAGAACAAGGAGGTGATGGCGATGGGCCTGTAGTTGGACGGGTCTGAGCGGTCTGAGCGGTAATTTCTGGATCTCGACAACAGCGCTACCTAGCGGGTCTAAATATGTAATCTAAACCATCTAAGGACCCATTCAAACACACAAAAATTTCATCAAAATCGGTCGAGCTGTTTTTGAGTTTCAGCAAGACTGATTGTTTTTTATAAATAGAGATTATTTCTATTTTAATTGTATTTTTTGACTACTTAATAACAACTCTCTCTTTCTCTTTCTAAATAACATCCGGAACAGTACCTACTGAATTAATTTAGACTTGGGCTTTAGTAAAGTTATATATTATGTTAATCTGTGCTTAGGCCCACGACATCTGGATATAGGGCAAAATTTGAAGTGCGTTAAATGTGAAAAAGTGACTAATTTAAAACAAATTTAAAATTTACTCCTCCATCCATCCATTACAGCCCATAAAAGTACACTGCTTAACATAGGCCTTCTTAATATTTATTTACAGATATTTCACTAGTAGAAATATTTTTATTTAATACCTTTAAGAGCCATGGTAGCTCAGAGGCCTAAGTATTCGCTGTAAATTTAACAGTACACGAGCAATCCGTGTTCGATCCCCGACGGAACCAATAAAATTGTTAGTTGCAATTTTAAGTTCTGATTTACTGTGTGCTCGGCGGTGAAGGAAAACGTGAGGAAACCTGCATGTCTGAGAAATAAAAAAAATATTTTGTAGACATGTGAAGTTCGCCAACACGCATTGGGGCAGCACGGCGAACATTTCCTTGCCATAAAATCCTCTCAGAAACGAGAGGAGGCCTACGCCCAGCTGTGGGACGTATATAGCGTGTAACTTTTACGTTTTTATACCTTTAATGGATGCAGGTGGCTCAGTACCGTAACGAAGATGATAACAATAACTTTATAAAGCAAAAAGAGCGCGGTCTCGCACTCGAATTTTCCCTAAGCTTTGGTCATTGTTAAAAAATGTTCTTTATTTATAATCCACTTCTCATCATCCGTAATCGCTTCACTGGGCAGATTACTCAGTACCAGATTTCTGACACCTTTGACGCAACGCTGCGCCCCGTCGTTGGTCTGGCTATTTCTATATCTCGAGCCAATATCGAGAATATGAGTTGTCCGGTCAATCTAGACATTCGGTGATACATAAATTTACAACAAGCTGATAATCGGTAAAATTGTTCAAAATATAATAATAAATAAAGTTCCCCACCATTCCTTCGCCAATTCGCCTATTCGCCTATTATGTAACTTTTTATTACTCTTATATGATATATTTCCTTTCTGTATTGTACTTTGTAGTATATGTAACCTATCCGCGAGGGGGGCCTGGTGACCTGTAACTCAGGTTTTATTATAAAACCTATCATAGGCACCAGTCTCTCACTACATTGTTATTGTTAACTAGCCAGTAAGAAGTTTTGAAGAGATAAAATAAATAAATAAATTCCTGTGAATGGAAATTTTTTTATTCAGTCAAGGGTCAAAAAATGAGTTTTTCGCGATTTTCGGCAAAACGGTAAGTTTTATCATAAAATACTCCAGACAAAAGTTGTAGATAATAAAATTATCTACAAAAAAATTTCAATAATTTTTTTTTCTACAAGCCACCGTTTCGGAGATATTACGATTCAAAAAGTTGTAAAAGTTGTAAACGTCATAATATGCACACGTTTCCACGCCACCTACTCGTATGAGGTAGTACTTAGCGCGTTTTGCGTTTTTTTTAAAGTGGTTTCCCCAGTAGGCCTATAACACGATTGATCATGAATATTATATTATATATATATACCTCAATCTCTGAAAACTAAAGTGTGCAACCAGTGCGTGTTGCCAGTGATGACTTACGGATCTGAGACGTGGTCCTTCACTGCTGGCCGTATGAGGACGCTCAAGGTCGCGGTTTTTTGTGTTCCACGGCCCCGGGAAGGGGGAGGGGGCGGGGGCCCGACGGAAAAGAAAGGGTTCGGGGGTGGTAGGCGTAGTGTAGGGCGACCCCCCACTAGATGGAGTGACGACCTGGTAAGACATGCAGGAAGTCGGTGGATGCAGGTGGCTCAGGACCGTGGCATTTGGCATTACTTGGGGGAGGCCTATGTTCAGCAGTGGACTTGTGAAGGGCTGTAATGATGATGATATACCTGTATATATATATCGGTATGTCATTTATTATAGCAGGTATAAGACCCTAGTCACGCACATAATTTATGATCTGGAGTATTTTTATGATAAAAATTACCGTTTGCCGAAAATCTCGAAACTCATTTTTTTGACCTTTGACTTAGAATTAAAAAAATCCGTACACAGGAACTTCAAACTTTTATTTATAATTATATTTTGAACAATTTCACCGATTATCAGCTTGTAAATTTATGTATCTTCGCTCTTATTTTCTGGTCTAATTTGCCTGGACTAAAGATAGAAGATAGGATAGCTTGTCTAAAATTTTGAGAATTATAGTAAAACAGTTTAATTTAAAACTGTTACAGTGATTACTAACTTCATTCCCGAGTAAATTGCTTTCACTGATTGCTTCATTCGCTTTTTGCCCCCTTGCATCCGGTTCTATCTCAGCATAGCACCATCGGAATTGATGTTGGAGCACAACATACCGGCTTTCTATTTATGTTTACACAGAAATTCGACATTGGAGATATATAGATACATACAATTCCTCTTTTATATTTTTCGTATAGTTTGATAATTTATTAAAGTTAGTATTAGTACAGATTAAATAATAAGTATTAGTATACGATAGGATATACGAATTATATTTACCATGTAGGTATATCTATCCAATAATACCGATACCAAATTCCGGTTTTGCGTTCATCAATTGTGTGCTGGATAGACAAACCTAAAAGTTATATCTGCCAGTTGGTGTTATTGAAAAAGAAGGCGATTTCAGAAAAAAAAATTGATAAAGATCCTTTTATTTTAAATCCTTAAATTTTTTTATCTAATTTTGCTAAAGTGATTGATAAACTTAGGATGGAAATGGGAAAAATATTCTATACTCCTCTCTTTCTCTCGCCAGTTCAGCCTGATATGGAATACTGTTCACATCTCTGGGACACTCCAGTGCCAGCGCGACAAGCAAGTTCTTTCTCTTCGGCTTGACTCGCTGGCGCTGCGAAGAGATCTTGTCAAAAGTCCACTGCTGAAAATAGGCCTTCCCCATAGATTGCTTCATATGGCAGATACTACCACAGTTGCCACGTTTGGAAAGCGACCTAGCAAACGCAGATTTTTATTTTTATTCACTTGTTATCGTTTATGTGTGGTAGAGCAATGCTGCTGCTATATTATGGTTGTAGTATGAATGCATCGGCTCGACCTGGGAAGGACCACGCGCTTTCACAGAATATCAGCATAAAAGTAAGCTCAAAGGGAGGGCGGGTTGTACGCAAAGTAATTTTCACTAACTTTAATATAATGCTGCTGCGTTTCGTTAAGTTTCGTTGCGGTAAGTATAGGGAACCGGATACACTTTTAACTGGATACTAGGCATTCCACCTTAGTCCTCAGGGGTGACAACGCATCTACATATTGATTTTTAATCGAAGATCAGTGTAAATGTCTATAGGCTACAGTATGAACTTCCTATCAGGTGGAGCAGACCTTGTCATCCTTATTCTATTAAAAAAAATGAGCTGTAATCAAGAAGATGCTGCTGACCAACTTCTGTTTCAGTTCGCCATTGTAGGCTGTTATGGCACCCCCAGGACGATACTAGGTAGTGGATTCGCATGCGCTGTCTCTTTACGCTATCGTTCATCATTACGAGCTTTTCGTAAACCCAAAATTTAAAAAAAAAGTAATCTAAAAATATAAAAATATCTCTTCCAGATCACCTAATTTATCGCCACGTTTGTCTCCGGATCGTTATCATTCACCATATTATCGCGGTGGAGTTTCGAGTGACGAGGAATGCCGTGACGTAAGGACTCGTGGCAGGGAGACGGCGATATTGTCCGATGTCGACGTCGATTCAGATGGTGACACGGGGTTAGACGGTGGGGACGAAGATGAGACCGACTGTAATGTGACGCCGGGAAGGCGGCGGGCTAGGAGGAGAAGACCGCCTCGTAGGCCTCCCCGTTCTGCAGGTTAGTTTTTAGACATTACAAACTCTAACCTCTTGGTTAGGTTTTACTTTAGAAAAAAAGCTGTAATTTTTGTTAACGAAATTTAGAAGCTAAAGATGGCGATGAAGATGAAATTTAGAAGCTTTTTCATATAATGTATAAAAAGACCGTAATGTAGAGCAGCCCACACGAAATCGCCCATCGCCCATCGTAGAGAATTTTGTTCTCTAAGCAGAAGAGGTGGTTTTAAATTTAGTTTACCGCTTGATGGCACACGTTAAAAGCAGAAATCGATAGTTTACAAAAGCAAAAGAATTTCTCTTAGCTAAACTGCGTTTAACTATTAACGATTTGCGCCATGTTCCAGAAATCTGACGTATATGGATGTAGAGTTTTTGCCAGACTCTGTCAAATAGTCGAAAATCCGTCCGGCATTAGGGTAAGGTCGTAAAAAAGTGTAAATTACGCACTGGAAGATATTATACACTGTAACACAATAACGTGCTGGAATAATATAAAGGTCAATGTTCACTTAGAAATAGGTTCAAGTAAAATCCATTTTAAAATATTATCAATTACTTATTTTCATGAATTAAGCAATCAAATCAAAAAAGAATTAAATAATCAAAAGCGAATCTAAGACTATGCATAGCTTGCATGTTTGCAAAACTAAACACCAAAATAACACAGCACAGTAGAATTGAAGCCTTTAACAAAATAATGTGCTTACAAAAAACAATAGGTACATATAAAAAATACTCTTTAATAATCAAAGTAGGTATTATTCATAAAAGAAACATAACGAATTTAACAATTATGTGTTTACAATTTACAATTAGAACAGGTACTGTAATTATTACCATTTATCACGGAGTTTTTTACTGTTTTTTTTTTAATTATAAGGGCTATCCCATTTGACACTATTCGCCATTCGCACAGAGCCATATTTAAGAAGAAATTGAAATTTAAAAATGCGTTTTTTTAAAAGTAATAAATAATAAAATAAAATAAATTTGCGAACTATAATATAGTATAATTTTATTAGGAAAGAATTAAAAAAAACTTTTTGTGTTTATCTAATAAACTCAGCATACAAATGTAATAAAGCCACATTAAAAATGTGTTTTTAATAATAATTTATTTATATTTTGCCAATTAGTAAAATTAAAAAAAGCTTCTTATTCCTCGTTCCACGGTTAAAACTAACTTTATGTCCTAGAGGAAAATAGCTACTTACGATTTGACAGCGCTTACCGCTTACGATCACCATTTTGCTTACAAACGCTTGCTAGCGCTTTTTTCTGCCAAACGCAGCCAATGTTACTTGATTTTATTAAGTACCCAGGTAACAATTTGTTCTTGGCAATAATATATTTATGCTTAAAAATTATTAGAATTGAATAAATAAAGTAAAATATAATCACAGAGATAATCTTCTATTTCAATTAGGTATATTTTAATTAGGTTATCTTCTTTTTATTTTATTTTTTTTTATCAAAATTTCATTTAATTTTGATGAAAAAATAAATATCTTTTGAACGTCTATGAGTCTGATAACAACCAGCAACAGAGATCATCCTGAGGATAAATGGAAAGTTATTCAGAAAGATTTATTTCATTTCGTTGCGTATATTTCTCTGTAAAGAGAAACAAGTGGACAGACTAACTGACAGCCGTATTAATAATTTCACCTATATTTTTGTAAATATAACTAACCAAATGATTAAAAAAATACGCTCACTTTATAATTTAATATATCTAGTCTTCAAAACATCCCTTTTTATTGATTTAGTATCAAAATTGAGACATACAAACAATTTTATATTGCAAAATTGTCACATAGTGGCTTGTGTTCCGATTGATATAACTGCTACTTGTAACTGCTTCAAAATAAACAAGTCTTAGACCATTATGGTTTAAGAAACAAGTACATGATAATTAGTTTTTGAAATATACATACAATTCGTGAGCCCAAACATCTTTTTATGTTCATATTGTTTCAGGAGCTACCCCGCCTCGAGCTCGACGTCGTAACCCGGCACCGTCTGCACCGCCAGTCCGGGAACGCGACCCACTTCTGGAAGCGGATAGAGAAGCGGAGAGAAAGTACCGTGAGCTTATTCGGGAAGCGGAGAAGCTTCTGGTGACAGTGTCAAGAGCTCCGCTCGAGCCGCCTCATAATCCACGTATTAGAGAACTACGAGCCACGGAGGTTAGTGGTGACTAAGAAATGATCATTATTTTTTTTTAATTTGTATCTGTACATACCTTAGAGCATACATAAGGTACACAAATAATATCATAGTATCTAGTTACTTGTGCAATCAAAAATAGTGTGTTTCCTGCATAAGTATAATACTAAAAAGCAATAATGCACGTATTTCTATTGAACATACATGTGAAGTGACGTTTGAACTGGAGCAACCCATTTTCCTAACAAATCAAATGGTGGAAGAGATGTTCTTTTTCGTCTGAATTGGTAACAACTCTTTTGCTCTGTGTAAAGCATCACTGAACGTAAAGTTGTCTTCCCGTTGAAAGAGTAACGAACGTTAACGAACGAATGTAAGCACGTTTTTAATCAATTTATATTGTGAATCTATATTGTCATAAAAATTCTTAGTGATTTTTTTTTTAAGTTTTGAAATTTCTTTTCTATTGTGTCAAATAATTTTTATTAAAGAAAACATTTTTTTTTTATTTATTCAATTCTAATAATTTTGTAAGCATAAATATATTATTGCCAAGTACAAATTGTTCCCTGGGTACATTGAAGAAAACTCTTTTTTTTTTTAATTGTTTTAATTTTAAAATATAGCCTTAAGTATATAGTATAATATATACTGAAAGTTTCAAAATGGTAGTTCATAAGATAAATCAATTACGCTGTCCATACGCGTCGTACTGAATGTGGTACCTATCTGGCGGTTGCTCAGGTCGATTGGTTTGCGCGAAAACGCATACAATCCAAATAATATTTTACATTGCTTTATCAATATGTTTCCAAATGGAAAGTAAAAATTTTTCAGACTCACTTTCATTAATTTTCCTTGTCCTATAGACGGAAGCCCCGCGTCGCAGTCCTGAACGTACGCACGTGACAAACTTCATCCGCGCGAATTCGCCAGAGGCTCCGCGGCGCGCATCTCTGGTGGCACGTCGTTCCCCCCCTTGCCGCACCCCCGCCCCCTTGCATGCCGTCATACCTCGCCAACGAACGCCCGCACTCCGAGCCCCCTAAACGGAAAGCATACGCTCGGGATGAGGTTCGTGATTTTACTGAGATTGGGTCAAAGCTGTTTTAAGGAAAATATCTTTGGATTGGGTATTATTGACACGCTAGTCAATTGAAATGATTTAAAACTTATGAGGGTCATAATTTATATAGTCTAATAATCTTTTTATTTTTCATTCTTAAATCCTAAAAATCTAAATCTTTGAGCCGTTTCCGAGAAACCAATTACATCTACGTACATAATATGCATGTTTAAAGTAAATCAATTACACGTCTAAAATATAGTATATGTATACATATATTATGTACTATATGTGTGTAATTAGTTTCTTGGAAAAGCCTCTAACATTTAGATGAAAATTTGTGTTTGTATAATGTTTTAATTTCCAACATTACCGAAATAGGTTTCATGCCTGAGATATTTATTCTCTAACCCCAAGCCAAGCTTTCTCGCCTTATAGCGGAAAAGTTCATTTTCACATATTACGGAAAACATACCAAGCTTAAAACACTTCTAATGGCGAAGTACTCAAACGTTACTCAATTTATAGATGTCGTTAAGTCTCGTGGTGTCTCAGTCGATTTGACTTAAAGTGATACAGACAGCATGAGACTTGACTGCATTCTAAAATTGAGTAGCGTTTGACTATTTGGGCATAAGTGTAGCAAATTCAAAATACAGTTACTTTTATAGATGATGGTGGACATTACCTAACAAATATTCTATATCTTACTATATAGATTTCCTTTTCCTGCCTAGGAGTTGGTTTGATTTTGAACTCTAGCCGTTAAACAGTAGTGCATACACTGCTGAGATCCGGTTTGAACTAAGAGAGGTAGAGTAATGTTGTACCACGTCATAGGTGTAGCCTGAATGGGCTAGCTAGATTTGAAAAGTCACTAGAGGCTAGAGGAAAAGTCACGCTCGCATAGAATAGCAGCATAACACTGTGTATCGTTTGGTGAGCGTTGAGAACCGGAGACCTTTTTTACTGATAACAAGACTAAATTTTAAGCTTCAGGATGACAACACATTTGTATTTTCATTCTCAGTTCAGGATATATGTAGTTGTCTATTGCCACATCGTCCATTTTCCGTCTGGACTATGGCAACATTACCGTCGCTCGAAAAGGAAAATAGGTTAAAGAATCTTCGATCAACATTGTTGATCGAAGTAAAGAGTAAAAGGAATGCTGGTCAACAAATTTACTCTAAACCGACGTTGGCAAGTGTAATGTCGCGCCACATTAGAACCGATTTTCGTGACTTCAACAATGTTCTTGGATGGATAGATAATGGTATGGAAGCATGCCATGTTCACGAAGTAAAGTCTTTTGCAACACCCTGAATGGTTTTACAGCGTTAGGGTTTTATTTGAAGTGTTCAAGAATCAATCCAACATCCATTCATTTATTACGGCCTATAAAAGTCCATTGCTGAACATTGGTTTCCTCAATAGACTGCCTCATAGGGAGGGTTTTTTCACAGTTGCCACGCTTGCCAGACGGAGTTTTTATAACTTTGAGTTGTTATAAAGAAGATGCTGCTGCCTATTTCCTGTTTCGGTTTCCCTCTGTCGCCTCTTACAACTCCCGCGGGACGATTTGGAGGTAGTGGATATTCTTACACCGCCACTGCACATTTATTCCCGAATCGATTCCCGTCTATAAATTGACAGCATACAACTGTCGTCCACGTAAGCACGGCAGTTGGCACAGGGCCTCCACTTTTTGACCGACTCAATTCTGAACTGGTGATTTCGTCCTTTAACTAAATAAAAACTCTACCATTCAATACAAGCAAGAAAATTGCCGTAGATCATGCTTCTGCTTCTTCAACAATAGAGATTCTTGCCCAATTTTGACCCCATTCCCGTAGCAATGACGGCACTGCTTGACAGGCAGGTCAGTTGTTGTATCAGACACATCTCGTAATACTTTCCCTCCGTTTCTGTTTTATAGATCTGTTAATGTTAAGCAAGTTAAACCACTATCCTTACTGCCTTCAGCTATGTTTAAGTTTGAAGAAAAATACGGGATAAGTTAAGGTTAAAAATAAAAAAAATATTATGACACAATTTCAATTCTACAATTTTAGGCACTGCTGTGAAATGAAAATAGATAGAAATCACATCACATTTAAGGACATTACGAGTAAATCAAATAATCAAAACGTAATAAATACCGTCTCATTATTTTATTCCAGGTGTTGCAAACACTGGAAGGTTTGCGCAAGAGTCTACAACAGCAGTCCGCTCTACTGGCAGTGCAGCGGATTGAACGGACGCGACTTGACTCCCTATAGCCAACCTTTCGTCCTCAACAATAATGTAGTTTAGATCTCACAATTTTGTTTACCTACATATCCTAATTTAAATAGTTTAGTTTTGATTTTTTATGTCCGATATGCGGTTCGCGTTGACTGTAAATTAGGTAATTTGTTTTTATCCTGTAACAGTATGTTGAATAAAATAAAATTATTGCAAGTTATTAGTTTTATTTTATTCAGCATATTGTTCCAAACAAGCTTCCTTTTTAAATATAAACAGAGTTGTTATTGTATTATAATATTATATTGTAATTTTTACTTTGTAGTGATTTTGACTTAAAGTTATAAAACGAAAATGTAAAGTTAGAAAATTTAGGCAATTAAACCGTGTTTTCCCTATTTCAATATACAAAATAAAAAAATAATTAAATAGTTAATTTTGTTGCCTTTATTGTTAAGTTTTTTTTTTGAAAAATTTGTTGTAATATCCGTGACATCGCAATAGGTCGCATAACGGGCATAAAATTAATCAATAGTTTTGTTGTAGTACTTCCACTTATATTTTAAATAATCCCTCCAATTTTTCTAGTCTTATAGTAATGAGTTGTAGTTAAGTCTGTTGTTATTGTTTAATGTAGGCGTGGCCATCTTATTATCTTCCATTATTAGATGTAGTGTCGTTTTATTAGTAAATAGATAGTTTAGTAGGTTAGCTGATTGTATCTAGTAATGTTGGAACATGAACATTTGATGAAAATGGTTTAAAGTTTTGTGGTAATCGCATTGTAGTGTAATATCATTATTAGAAACTTATAATATTGTGATATTATTTTATTATTAGTTTTAAAAGCCGTTTATTTCAACCTAGTAATGCGAAATCATTATGCTTAAAGCAACGAAGGTATTCTACCAATAAGTCGTATTTTAGTTAAAAACGTAAAGTTTTCAGACAGACAAAATCCTGCTGCCACGATATTAGTGACAAAAATACAATTGAACAAAACCGTCTACTTAGCAAGGTTAGCTTTGAAAGTGTAATTATCAGTGCCAAGCGCGGGGCCCGTAGCAAATTATATCGCGCGGCCCTAGATCTGCTACGGGTTCCTAAGTATAAAGTGGTAAAAAAACAATTCAATACTCAATAACCTTTTTTGCGATCTATAGGTTACAATTTTGTTGGTATTTAATAGTACAGTAGTTTACTATAAGCACTGTTATCTGGCAAGTACGAGCACAAAAAGTCAGAGATGAGATTGTCCTGGCAGCTTAGAATGATTTTGATAAGAAAGTAACAATTAAAAACTGACGATACTTACAAATAATTGTATATCTTTTTTGTACATATATCAAAATGTATATTTATTACAAATTATATTATAAATTTAAGAATAGCTAATGTTATATTTTATCAATGGTGTAGGTACTTTAAATTATTTATATATTTTACATCTATTTATCTGTTCCTTTTATTAATTTTTAAACTTATGCATAGTAACTTTTCTATATTTCATGTGGGAAAATTTAGAAATAATATTATTCATTACATAAATATTTCCGGCGTTCTTAAATGAAATGAACGTTCACTATTGCAGTTATTGATCGTAAGAGACATTAAATCAGTTTCTAAATTGGAATTTATTGAATGGATTATCCATTAGGAATTTCGTACTTCGTTTACCGTACTGTCAATCGCATCAGCCACATCGGTTTTGAGCAACTCGGCAAACTGCATTAATTTGCCGTCTATGCTGTCTTCCAAACCATTTTCATAAGCACTGACCATAATTGGAGTTTCTTTTAAAATCTCTTCTGCTGTAATAGATTTACATGATAATGTGGTTCTGAATTCCTTCGTTAGTGTGTCTGTTGTGCAGTGAATTTCAAGGCCTTCGTTATGTCCAAACTAACCGCCATAGCCGCCCCCTTGGTCTTGACTGTCTCCGCCCATGAGCTGAGCGACCTCGACGGAAATCGTATTGACGATCACTAATCAGCTGATGCTCTTCAGGGTACCGCATGAGCTTGCGGTTAATAATGGATTCCATCACTTTGGAGAACAAGAAGATGATAGCGATGGGCCTGTAGTTGGAAGGGTCCGAGCTGTCACCTTTTATAGGGATCGGGTGCATTAAGGCTGTCTTGGCACTGTACTCCGGAACAGTAAATGATCATAGGAGTCAAGAGGGGCGTCGACGGAGAACTGGTAACCGTCCGGGTGAGAAGTCAGAAGGTCCAACAGGAAAGATGTATAACATCTGGAATCTGCATAAACGAAGTGACTAGTTGTGTCAGACCATATGCCAATGCAAAGTCGTAAATAGATCCCGCTTGATCAGCAGAATGATGACCGAGCCATTTGGCGTGTTGGGCGTTAAAACGTGTGCGTTTACCGTACGAAATTCTTTGTTTGATTTTCGCCAACGAAGTAATAAAACCCTAACGCTGTAATGTTATGGATTGCCTTTTGAAACGTGTTACGTTTTTGTGACAAAAATCAATATACCGTATTAATAAGTTTTACTCAAAAAATTTCACTTGGGCGGTGATGGCCGGTTTAGGAAACGCGTGACCCTCTTTTGCGCGGGGGCCGTAGCAATTGTTACTCTTGCTACGTGGTTAATCCGGCACTGGTAATTATACTAAGAGCTGGACAAATCTAACAAAAAAGTGGATTTTCATAGTTCGCAAAATGGTTTTTTGCTTTTTGAAAGGGTTTTGTCTTGAATTTTTTTGTGAA